GGGATACCGGGCCCAAAAACGGGCCGAGCCGACGGATTTCAACGTCTTGGGGGTGAGATCGGGGGAATTTTTCGGCGCCTGCGTGAAAAAAATCGCCCTGGGGGGCTGCTGGGGGCGCGGCTGGAGATGCTCTTAGGAAGAGTATGAAAGTGGAGAAGGAGCGGGATATATACACGCCTCTTTATAATACAGCAAAGCCTGAGCAACCGTGTGTGTGCACTGTGAAAGTCCCTTCTCCTCATGATCATTTGATTCCATTCCACTTGGCCTTGCAACACACGAATAACTAATGCATAAGACAACTCGTGCATGCATGCATGGCCATATACTAGTAGAATGGAAGATGATGCGGCCAAATCGAATCCTCAGCTTCACACCATTACCCGTACATGATTCAACCAGATGATATTAATTTATTAAGTGATGTCTGTTCATAATGCTGCAGAAAAAAAATGATATTTATGTGAATGATCATAATGCACTAGCGTACAGATCAGCTGTCAACGACGGTTAGTGACTAGCTAGCCAAGATGCAGTGCCATGGTATGCAGGTAGCCAAGATACAATGCCATCTCCCGCAAATAAAAAAAAAAAGATACAATGCCATGGCATGCAGCTAGCCAAGATGCGAAACTGAACTGGCGCGCGTGAGGAGCGCCGATCGAGTGCCAACATATGCAATGACTTGTTTTGATCTGTCCAACCAGATGGACACTTTGCGCGAGGAGATGGTTTGCAACAGAATCTGTTTTTATAGCTCACGAGATTTTGTTTGTACTCACAAAAAATGTTTGTATGAGAAACATCTTATATAGAAATACATGTTCTAGCAAGTTTACTCTAGCTAGGACGACCAACATGGATGGCTTAGCCAAAAGCTCGGCTCTGCCATAATTTAATTGATATCTAGTTTTCCACACGCATCAGTCCATGGCTTCGATTCCGCAGGTGGCCGTGGCAGTGGCGAATAAGTTTCCTTCATATGTCCCATCAAAGCGGTGGTTCTCTGGCTTTGGGTGTTGGATTTGGAGAAAGTGCTTGCGCCTTCTTAGGTCCTTTGGATCTGGGCAAGCGCTTTGTGTATCTTCATGTTAGTGTCGATTTTTTGTCTAAAAGGACCCCCCTGTTGAGATGAATTGCCAAAAAAGACAATCTCTGGATCAATATGACAAAAAGGACCCCTTCAGCGGTGGCGGCAGGCGCGACAGGCGACACGTGGCACCTGCCGCCACGCCAGGAGGTGGCGGGCCCTGCCGCCACCGTAGGAGGCGGCCACCCCAGCCGAACGGCTTCTCCACAGTGCGTCGCGCCGCGACGGAACGGGGCGGGCCAGGTGGGCCTCGCCGCCATCGCCGCAGGCGGCCAGCCTTGACGCGGTCGCTAGCTGGGCGACAGGCCCTGCTGCGAGCGGGCCCCGCCGGTGGGCCTCGCCGCCACTTCCGGAGGCGGCACCCCTGCCGACAGCAGCTGGTGCACGCTGACTGCTGCATGGAAGGCGAGGTGCGGGCCCCGCCGCCACTGCTGCTGGCGGCGTCTTCCTGGCACTGATTCCGACGTGTGCAATGACGACGAATTTCACGGGCTCGCTGTTGCAAACTGGGCTGATTCCCACGCGCGGAGAACGACGAATTTCACGGGCGGGAATCACTCTGGC